TTAGCATTTTTAACATGATATTTACAATTTAGTACTGAGCAATTGCAAATTCTTTACCTGTGTTTTCCAATCCATTGATAGCTGCCATCAGATTTTGCATCTTTTGGAAACAAATGATGTTAAATCTATAATCATATGCTAAAGTTTTTATAGTATTTTGATACGTCTCTTGCATTTGATGAAATAATTTCCGATAATCTACAAGTTGTTGCTCGCTGTGATTCAATCCGTCGCAATTAATTTTGGCTTGTTAGCTGCTTTAATGACATTAATTTGTTCGTTTCTGGTGGTTCTGAATAAAGGTTTCGGGTTGTCCTGAAAGACACACACACACACATATATATTATAATTATATATATTAAGTCAATTCCTACTTTTTGTTCACTCTATTTCAGAAAGTCCTTTATAAATAATTTTCATTCATTTTTTTAAATTTATCTGGTGCCATCTATTGGTAGATATATGCAACTTAAATCTAAAAAAAAAACTAAAATTAATTAATTTAATTTAATTACTGAATTAATATTTGAAAAAACTGTATTAACATCCAGTGTCATCCGCTACAAGTTCAAAAAAATGTATTTAAATTTGAGTGGATGAATAAAATGTATTTTATTAAAATAAAAACAAGATATTGTTATTGATTGAAAATTTGAACAAGATATATATAGGGAGAGTGGGAACTAATAGAAGGAATTGAAAAAAGAGGGGACTCAATGACGTGGGGAAAAGCGTTTGAATACTGATAGTCCGCCTAGTTGGTGGGAGTTTTCTTGTTTTTCCATCTACAACAAACAATGCAAGACAATATTCATTAAAAAATCTCCAATTCTCCTTCAAATACTCCTCATCATCAATGTCCTATCGACTCTACGTGAATGGGCCATATAGTTATAGTACACGAGGTCTGTTGATGAATAAACCGGAGAGAGTCATAAACAAAGAACCAAATAATTCATGAAAATAAAAACCAAATAAATCAAATTGTGGTGAATTATGAAAATCCTTGGTTTAAAATGATGTCACAACACATTTACAAATTAAAATGTAACCACTCCAATTCTACTTTAAAATTGAATTTATTCGTTTCTATAATTCTATCATAATAATTTTTATTCATTTTCCATAAAAAAAATTGTTTTTCTTTTTATCGGAATTTTTTTTTTTTCTTTTTGGTTTTTATTAAGCATTTGGTAATCACTGCTGCCATTAATTCTACAAATGATTCCACACTTTTTTGACACTAATGAGGCAATTGGATGAATAATCCTTTTTTTCAGATAATTGAAAGGACAATATAGCGTTTTTAATTAATATACTTACAATATTAAATAGTTCCACTTTCATTTGTTATTGTAATTAATCTAGCTAATAAAACAATACAATAATCAGATAAAATAAAAATTCTATTCTATTAAAAAAAATTTTTTATGATAGTTTGTATTTTTATCTAATTTTTGAATAGGTTTGTAGATTTATTACAAATTATCGTTTCATTTCCTTAAAATACTGAAAAACAAATTTTGCTATTTATTATTTTGCTATTGTAGCTAATATAAAAATATTTTCACATTCTAAAAGTTTTCCAAACATTGTTTACATTAATTTCAAACTATTAAATGAGTTAATTAATTAAGATTAATTTACCCTCTGTAGAAGTACAATAATTCATTTCATTTTAATGGTAAACTGCAATTTACTGTTCTTTTTTGGATCTGATGGAAGCAAAACCTTATTTTCGAAAAGTATCTTAAATCTTATTTAATATAGTATCTAATGAAAATATATGTTTTATCTAGGTAAACATACATTTCAATGGTTTTTTAGATTTATTACAAATTAGTATCAATTAGTATTAGTATTTTTAGTGAAAAAATATTTTTCATGAAAATAATGAAAAACAAATGTTTTTTTTCTAATTTGCTATTGTAAGCTAATATGTAAATATTTTTACACTGTTAAAGTTATCAAAACATTGTTTACATTAATTTCAGTCTATTAAAAGAGTTAATTAATTAAGATTAATTCGTTATATAGAAGTACAATTAATTCATTCCTTTTTAATGGTAAAATGTAATTTACCTTTTATTTAAGGGGGGGAGGGGGATCTTATAGAAGCAAAACCGTATTTCAGAAAAGTACCATAAATCTTACATTTTAAAAATGTAGGTAGACATACATTTGAATGGTTTTTTAGATTTATTACTAATTATTTTCCTTCTTAATAAAAAATATTTTTCATCAAAATTGTGAAAAACAAATGTTTTTTTTTTCTAATGCAGCTGGCAAACACAGACAGCTTGGTCTTAGATGCCTTTAAGGCAAGTGCTGCACAGACGTACTCACTTTGTATTACCCAGGGGGCGCGTGTAACTTGAAGATAAGCCACGGACGTGGAGTAACAACGCCCCCGCAACGCTCTACGATCTTATTAGACCGGAACCTACTTTTTAAAGTGGAACCACTACAAACAACCATGGCACCACCGGGACTCGAACCCGAAGCCTGTGGTACCGAGCGCCCGAGCGCTAGCCACTCGGCCATTCAGGCCCTTCTAATTTGCTATTGTAGCTAATATATAAATATTTTTACATTGTTAAAGTTATCAAAACATTGTTTACATAAATTTCAATCTGTTAAATGAGTTAATTAATTAAGATTAATTTGTTATCTGAAGAAAATTAATTCCTTTCTTTTTATTGGTAAAATGTAATTTACCTTTTTTTTTTTGTTTGGATCTGATTGAAGCAAAGGCTAATTTTTGAAAAGTATCTTAAATCTTATTTAATAAAGTATCTAATAAAAATATCTGTTTCATCTAAGTAAACATACATTTTGATAGTTTTTAAATATTAAATTTAAATTACTTAGTTCTTAAACTACTAAAAAAAGTTTTACTATAAAATTTAATTAACGGTAACATTGTTAAAAATTTGTAGAAATATTGTAGAAACAAGTTCGTAACAATTTTCTAAAAATGGATTTCTGCTGTTTTAAATCCATTTTTACACTTAGAAAGAAATGACACTGCACATGTATGGATACATATTTGTGAAAGTGATTTTAAGTACATAAAATCTTTTTAATTACACATATATATTTCAAATATGTATATGTAATTATGCCTTGTTGAAAGTGATAAATATATTCATGTATCCTAGAAAGATTAATTTTTTCACTGAAATCATTTTAATGCATATTTATTCCACCAAGAATATTTAATAAAATGTTATGTTCCGGAAAAATGCAAACATTTCATTCTTGTGACAAAACCTACTACTAGTTTAAAAATTATTTAAGATAGAAAGTGGAATACTTTTTATGTACTTAAAACTTTATTTCAAATGCACATAAATATTAAAATATATGCATATAGTTATGCAGTATTGAAAGGACAAATATAATATCATATTTTCTAGAAATTCTAAATTATTTCATTTGGTTTCATTAGGATGACGTGTTGCGTTAGGCAAGTAAATGTAAACTTTAATTTGAATCGCTTGCATCTCAAAATTATATACAAATATATATTTGGGATATACACTCAAGAGCCAAAACATTATGGCCACCCCTACATTTTGCAATGAACACGCCTGGATGACGTGGAAGGCACGTGATCAGGTGGAAGTGGTATTTAACTGGTATTAAGTGGTGGTATTAATCCATTCCAAGGCGGGTTGAAGCTGTGTTGCGCGCCAAAGGTGGGCCAACTCGTTATTGGCAGGTGGTCATAATGTTTTGGCTCTTGAGTATAAGTCATTCAAGTTAAAGTTATCTATATATATATATATATTTCTTTAACTTGAGTTAATATACTCAATAATATAACTTTAACTTTAAGTTATATATATATATATATATATATATATATATATATAACTTTGTGAAATAATATAGTAATTCTGTGTTACTTCCCTCTTATTTTCATGAAATAAGTAGAAGAATTTCAGTCTGATTCGTGATTCAGCCGCTGGGGAGCAATAGGGCGGAGGTTCAATCCACTGGTGGCTTTGTTGTAGAAACTGTTTCAAAAAACAAGGAGACTCGATGATGTTCAGCATCTTGATTTGTTATCCGGACTACCTGGTGGAATTTTTTTCGGGTTTTCTCCCATACGATAGCAAATGCGAGGTAGTTCCCCCTAAAAATCCTCCCGAAAAGCACTGCTCTCATTCTTCAGCGACACGGTGCCAAATCAAACTTCTACCTAAAGGCTCATTCCCACCCAGGCGTGCAGAGCTGAAGATTCACGCGGCAAGCAAGAAAATTTTTTCGAACCTTTCACAGCGATACGTCAGAAATAGCATTACGTCTAGTGAAGTTCCGCTTCGAGTTGAAAGTTGGTCAGAAGCGGAGGATTTCAAACCGGTTTCAAACTGCATATTAACCTCAGTCATGGACCAGTCGCCTGCGACGGGATCCTTTGGACCTGGTGTAGGTTTTCCTGCAGTTCCATATCGTAATATATAAATTATATACTGTATTATCATATATATATATATATATATATATATATATATATATATATATAACTGTATTCGCATTTAAAGTCATTTTAATGTTTAAATATATGCAACTCCAATTAAATATATCTCTTTAAAAAACTCCTTCTCGAATGATTATCATCAGTAATGCACAAGATATTATTTTACCCACCTTAGCACCATTAGATATTAGCACCATCATTTCTTACAATGATAAAAGCAATGTTTTTTGATGTAGCCAGAACGTGACATAAATGTAAAAATTTAACTTTTATTCTAATCTTAATTACTCTTCTTCATGTACTACAAAATAATAATAAAAAAACAGATTAGTCTGTGATTTTACCAGACAGAAATTGCAGAAACCTTTCTTTAGAATGTGTATTGTTTCCACACGTGCTTTCAATTATACGAGTTAAAAGAAATTTAAATGTCCAGCATGCTTGACGCCTTCACATTATGTTCAATTGTCACGTGTATTTTATCTCATTTTGTGTAGTATTCTTTCTCCAGGCCAACGGTCGTACCATGCTGAATATACCGGTTCTCGTTAGATCACCGAAGTCAAGCATCATTGGGCGCGGTCAGTACTTGGGTGGGTGACCACCTGCAAACACCGTGTGCCGTTGGCATTCACAAATTTGGGACCTGAATGGCCGAGTGTCTGCCGCTCGGGTTCGAACCCCGGTGGTGCCATGGATGTTTGTAGTGGTTCGGAATCCACTTTAAGTCGTAGGTCCCGGTCTCCTATGACTGTAAGAGCGTCACGGAGCCAAAGTCAGACTTCTACCTACGGGTGCTCCATCACAACAGAAGCTGCTTCCTTCCCCTTCCATCATGAGTACGTATGGGCTCGTGGGCTTGGCCATCCAAGTGGGATAAGAAACAACAACAACAATTCTTTTTCCCTTTTACCATAATATGACGTGACGTGCATCTATGATACACGAAAGTTCTTGATGTTCAGAACATAAAAATAAAACCTATCCTTGCTGATATGCTTGCTTGTGGTTTTATTTTTAATTAAAATGACCTACACAAAAAAAAAAAAAAAAACTGCATAAAATTTAGTCTAAAATAATTGATGATATTTTACGCATTTTGATGAAATTTACCAGAAATGGTTTTTTAATTGCGTCGAGGACTGGGTCGTATTAATCATTTGCTTCTGAGCCGCCCAATACAAACTAGCCTTGAAGAAGGCATGTCATGAGGGCTGCACCAACGAACGCTTTTATTCATTTAGCTCTACCCCGGGACACGTGTAGCTTGAAGATAAACTATGGACGTGAGTAACACTTCTTACCCCACAAAACTTAAGGTCGAATGAGACTGGAACCAACGATTTGGATTCCGAACAACTACAACCATCTATGGCACCGTCGGGACTGGAACCGCAACCTGTTGCACCTAGTTCCAGAGCCCTAGTCACTCGAACATCAGGCCCCATTTTCCAGAAATGTAATGAATGACATAAGCATAAAATAGTACAGATTGAATTGAATTGGTAATAAAAAATGTTTAACAATAGAAAATAAAACTGTAATATGAAGTTTGTACAATCATTTCATAAAGTATTTGATTATTTTTGTAACTGAAATTTATTGAAAATTACTGTAAGCTTCATGTTTAATAATCTTCATCAATTTTTTTTTTTTACAAAACTTCGTTTTAATATTAATAACGTTCAAGAAAACAAATATGAACACAATTTTCCATTATATATTCAATGAGTAAATGGTAAAAAAAAAATCTTCCCATTTTTAAATAACCAAATAATAAAATGATGCATTAAATATTAAAATAATAGGGCCTGAATGGCCTAGTGTCTAGCGCTCGGTGCCACAGGTTTTGGTTCGAGTTCCGGCGCTGCCATGGACGTTTATAGTTGTTTGGAATCCACTTTAAATAATAGGTTCCGGTCTAATTTAATCGTAGAGCGTTGTCTTGAGGTTTAGTCAGTCTTCAGCCCTCGTGGTTCCTCGCTAAAGTGAAGCTGCATATTACCCTTAGCCATGGACTAGTCGTCTGCGACAGGGTCTTTTAGACCTGGTGTAGGTTTTCCTGCACTAGGAGAGTTAGTAACAACAACAGTTCTATATGATAATATAGTATATAAATTCTATACTGTGTTATCTTTACATACTGTATCATCATATGTATATTTTAAGAAAGCATTGTTTTTATCATTATAAGAAATTATGGTGCCAATATAATATAATTCTATCAATTCCAATTTACAGTCATTTTAATGTTTAAACATATGCAAACTCCAATAACATATCTCTTTAAAAAAAACCTTCTAGAATGATTACTAGCATAAATACAGATGATATTATTTTGCCATGATTTTTGATGTATCCAGAACGTGGCATAAATGTAAAAATTTAACTTTTACTCTAATTTTAACTGCTTTCCTCCATGTACTACAAAATAATGGTTCCCCACCAAGAAATAAAAAAAGCAGATTAGTCTGTGCTTTTGCCAGACACAAATCGCAGAAATTTTCTTTAGAATGAATATTGTTTTGACACTTGCTCTCAATTATATGAGTTAAAAGACGTGACATGCATCTATGATATACGAAAGTTCCTGATGTTTGGATCCTTAAAATAAAACTTAACCTTACTGATATGTTTGCTTGTGACTTTATTTTTAATTAAAATGACTTACACCGAAAGAAAATTGCATAAATTTAATAAAAAAAATAATAAATAATTTAAGATATTGTACGTATCTTGATGAAATTCACCAGAAATATAATGAATGATATAAAATAAAATAGCACAGATTGGATCAAATTGGTAATTAAAGAAAAATTTAGCAATAGAAAATAAGGTTGTAATATAAAGTTTGTCCAATCATTTCATAAAGTATTTGATTATTCCAGGGGTCGTGTGTTCACTCCTCGCTGGTGGATATAGGTTCTGCGGAAATTCTTCTTAGTTTAACCAATAAATTTCAATTTTTATAATGGCCGTTTTAGTTTAATTAATAAGAAACTCATCAGTTAAAAAAATATGCTTTTCGCAGTAGTAACCGAGCCACTATAGCTGAGTGGTTTGAACACTGGTATTGTAAACCAGGGGTCGTGAGTTCACTCCTGGTGGATATAGGTTCTGCAGAAATTCTTCTTAGTTTAACCAACAAATTTCAATTTTTATAATGGCCGTTTTAGTTTAATAAACAAGAAACTCATCAGTTAAAAAAATATGCATTTCCTAGTAGTAACCGGTCCACTATAGCTGAGTGGTTTGAGCACTGGTATTGTAAACCTACATAAGACTTTTTCTTTAGTAAACTAAAATATTAATTTAAAACGTTACATTATAATTATTAATTTAAAATAACTTCCCGCATCACCTGCAGCCACCAGTGAGGATTGAACTCACGACCCCTGGTTTACAAGACCAGTGCTCTAACCACTGAGCTATGGTGGCTCGACAACACACGTGAAAAGTGCATGTTTTTGTATACATAAGACTTTTTCTTTAGTAAACTAAAATATTAATTTAAAACGTTACATTATAATTATTAATTTAAAATAACTTCCCGCATCAACCTGCAGCCACCAGTGAGGATTGAACTCACGACCCCTGGTTTACAAGACCAGTGCTCTAACCACTGAGCTATGGTGGCTCGACAACACGTGAAAAGTGCATGTTTTTGTATACATAAGACTTTTTCTTTAGTAAACTAAAATATTAATTTAAAACGTTACATTATAATTATTAATTTAAAATAACTTCCCGCATCACCTGCAGCCACCAGTGAGGATTGAACTCACGACCCCTGGTTTACAAGACCAGTGCTCTAACCACTGAGCTATGGTGGCTCCACAACACGTGCAAAGTGCATGTTTTTGTATACATAAGACTTTTTTTTTATTAAACTAAAATATTAATTTAAAACGTTACATTATAATTATTAATTTAAAATAACTTCCCGCATCACCTGCAGCCACCAGTGAGGATTGAACTCACGACCCCTGGTTTACAAGACCAGTGCTCTAACCACTGAGCTGTGGTGGCTCGACAACACGTGAAAAGTGCATGTTTTTGTATACATAAGACTTTTTCTTTAGTAAACTAAAATATTAATTTAAAACGTTACATTATAATTATTAATTTAAAATAACTTCCCGCATCACCTGCAGCCACCAGTGAGGATTGAACTCACGACCCCTGGTTTACAAGACCAGTGCTCTAACCACTGAGCTATGTGGTGGCTCGACAACACGTGAAAAGTGCATGTTTTTGTATACATAAGACTTTTTCTTTAGTAAACTAAAATATTAATTTAAAACGTTACATTATAATTATTAATTTAAAATAACTTCCCGCATCACCTGCAGCCACCAGTGAGGATTGAACTCACGACCCCTGGTTTACAAGACCAGTGCTCTAACCACTGAGCTATGGTGGCTCGACAACACGTGAAAAGTGCATGTGCATTTTTTGTATACATAAGACTTTTTCTTTAGTAAACTAAAATATTAATTTAAAACGTTACATTATAATTATTAATTTAAAATAACTTCCCGCATCACCTGCAGCCACCAGTGAGGATTGAACTCACGACCCCTGGTTTACAAGACCAGTGCTCTAACCACTGAGCTATGGTGGCTCGACAACACGTGAAAAGTGCATGTTTTTGTATACATAAGACTTTTTCTTTAGTAAACTAAAATATTAATTTAAAACGTTACATTATAATTATTAATTTAAAATAACTTCCCGCATCACCTGCAGCCACCAGTGAGGATTGAACTCACGACCCCTGGTTTACAAGACCAGTGCTCTAACCACTGAGCTATGGTGGCTCGACAACACGTGAAAAGTGCATGTTTTTGTATACATAAGACTTTTTCTTTAGTAAACTAAAATATTAATTTAAAACGTTACATTATAATTATTAATTTAAAATAACTTCCCGCATCACCTGCAGCCACCAGTGAGGATTGACTCACGACCCCTGGTTTACAAGACCAGTGCTCTAACCACTGAGCTGTGGTGGCTCGACAACAAGTGAAAAGTGCATGTTTTTGTATACATGAGACTTTTTCTTTAGTAAACTAAAATATTAATTTAAAACGTTACATTATAATTATTAATTTAAAATAACCCCCGCATCACCTGCAGCCACCAGTGAGGATTGAACTCACGACCCCTGGTTTACAAGACCAGTGCTCTAACCACTGAGCTATGGTGGCTCGACAACACGTGAAAAGTGCATGTTTTTGTATACATAAGACTTTTTCTTTAGTAAACTAAAATATTAATTTAAAACGTTACATTATAATTATTAATTTAAAATAACTTCCCGCATCACCTGCAGCCACCAGTGAGGATTGAACTCACGACCCCTGGTTTACAAGACCAGTGCTCTAACCACTGAGCTATGGTGGCTCGACAACACGTGAAAAGTGCATGTTTTTGTATACATAAGACTTTTTCTTTACTAAACTAAAATATTAATTTAAAACGTTACATTATAATTATTAATTTAAAATAACTTCCCGCATCACCAGTGCAGCCACCAGTGAGGATTGAACTCACGACCCCTGGTTTACAAGACCAGTGCTCTAACCACTGAGCTGTGGTGGCTCGACAACACGTGAAAAGTGCA